GTTTTTACTTACAACTTCATTAATGTGAAAATATGTTTAATGGGGATATAAATGTAAAGCCTACATCAGATTGTGCGCCGTCTTGGGGCAGGTGGGGGGGGCAGAAAAATTTTCAACTCAAAAGCATATGGAAGTGATTGTTGATAAATCAAAATAAATTAATAAAATTTTTTAAAAAAGAAAAACTTTTTTTGAAAGTTACATAGCTCCATGCAAATGCTTTCTTAGGCCTAGAATAACAAAGACATGGACAAGCTCTTTTCTCCTTTAAGTAACAACTTAAAGGTCCTATCACAGATTTTCCTGATTCTTATCACTTCTGCTTTTGCTTACTGTCAAGAAAATAGCTGTCCCATTGATGGCTAATGGCACTATCTGTTTCCTCAGCTCAGGACAAGAAAGAAGCCTGAAGACAGTGTATCTTCTTGGCTGACACACAAAGGAACTGTTTTCCACATAAGGACAGGGTCTAGACCTGTGATTTCACTGGTATAGGAAGTTCCCTCTACCAACGCAGGCTGTCACCTTATTTGCTACTCACAGAGTGAGTTAGTATAAATAAAACATGGCTGGTAACTTAACTAAAAAAAATTTTTTTTCGCCAACCATAAGATGATTTCCTCACCTGATTCAAAAGTGCTTTCCTGAGTGCAGCAAATATTCTTCATCCTCCTTAACCTCATTGTAGCTTCTGACAGTTTTCACCCTTTCTTCCTTAACTCTCTTCTCTCCTGGTTTTCCTTCTATCTATCTGCCCACTCCTTCTGTCTCTTTCATAGGATCCTCATCTAGATCATGCCCTCTAACCACAGGTTTCCTCAAAGTCCTATCGCGTGCTCTCTACTTCCTCCATAGAATTTCACTGTGTGATCTCATCAGCTCCCAAGGATTTAATTACCATCTCTATGCCAATGATTCTCAAATCTACCTTTCCTGCCTCCAACTCTCTGCAACCTCTAATATTATATCTCCAACTGCCTTTCAGACGTCTCAAACTACATGTTCAGTAGACATCTTAAACTTAATATGTCCAAAACTGAACTCATTTTCTTCCCCCCCCACCCACCCAAACCCTCCTTCCCCCTATCTTCCCTATTACTTTCCGTAGAAGACAACACTGCTCTCAGTTCCTCAGGCTTGCAACACAGGAGTCATCCTGAAATCCTCATTATCTCTCACCCCCCATATCCAAGCTGGAGCCTGTCAATTTCACCATCTCTCAAATAACTCCCTTCTCTCCTCTGACCCTGCCTCTCTACTCTCGTATAAGCTCAAGCCTGGACTACTGCAGTAGCCTGCCTCAAGTCACCCTTCATTTTAGCTACTAAAGTGATTTTCTTAAAGTACAAGTCTGATCATGTCAGCCCCTACTCAATAAACTCTATTGGCTCCCTATTGCCTCCAAGAACAAATACAAAAGGCCCTCTTGGCATTCAAAGCCCTCCATTACCTTAGTCCCCTCCTACCTTTCCAGTCTTCTTACACCTTACCACTAAACACATACCCTTCAATCCAGTGACCCTGGCCTCCTGGCCAAGACCCTCCATCTCCTGGCTCTGGGCATTTTTCTCTAGTATCCTCCATGCCTGGAACTCTCTCCACTCCTCTGCTCTGATTACTGACCTCCTTGGCTTCCTTTAAGTCCCAACTAAAATCCCACTTTCTACAAGAAGCCTTCCCTAACCCTTCTTAATTCCAGTACCTTCCCTCTGTTAATTATTTCCCATTTATCTTTGCTTCGAAATATGTGTTTGCATGTTGTCTCCCTCATTAGATTGTGAGCTCCTTGAAAGCAAGGACTGTTTTTTGACTCTTTTTGTATTCCCAGTACTTAGCATAATGCCTGGTACATGGTAGACACTTAATGTTTACTGATTGATTCCTTTTTTTTTTTTTACTTTTACTTCCCACAGGGCTGACACACAGTAGAAGCTTCTAAAGTTCTTGCTAGGTGTAAATCTAAACAGTCAGTCGTCCCTTCTACATCTCTGCAGTTAGGGGTGCTGTAATCTGGAAAAATCTGAGTAAAAATTTTTGGCCCTACCTTTGTACCAGAGAAGTCTGAATTTTTTTCTTTTTCTTTCATGGGGTGTTTACCTTACATAAAATTTGGGTTAAGTATTTAGTCAAAGGCTCTGTGTTGCCTGCAGCTTCTGCAAAGCTCCCCAAAAATTCCCATTTAATTTATTATGCCGACAAGTGACAGTTATAATGGGGAAAGTTGTGATGTGGAAGGGATAAGTGTAATCCTATGATTATCTGTGTTCTCTCTGGACTTAATTTTCCTCATCCATGAAATGAGGAGGTTGGAATTAAATGGAGACTGTAAGGTCCCTTTTTCAGCTTTAAATCCTATGACATTAAATTCTGATACAAACAACAGATAATGCCACAATTAGATCAGCTTCTTTGCAGTACAATGGAAGGGGGGGGGTTGGGGGTTTTTTGTTTGTTGGTTGGGGTTTTTTTTGTTTGTTGGTTTTTTTGTTTTTTGGGTTTTTTTGCAACAATGGCAGAGTTACCCATTATGTTTGGTTTAGTCTATTATTACAACTAGCATTCCTGAAACATACACCAGGTGAAAGTAGGAGGAAATAGTCTAGAAAGCGTGCTGGCAGAAAAAGCAAAACCTGGGATTAAAATTTTGCAAGAGACAATTTTCTAACAGCACTGAAATACTGTTTATGTTTATTATTTCCAAACTCAAGAGGAAGCCTAAAGCAGTGGAAAAGAAAGGGCAGCCCTGGAGTTAAGAAGCCCTGGTCACTGATACTTTCTAGCTATGTGACTAAGAGCAAGTCACTTTGCATTTCAGTGCCCTAGACCTCAAAAACTCTGAGAGTTGTCTTATTAGTCACAGATGAACTGACATCAGAGGCAGCAAATTTGAAGACCACCCCAGTGTAATCAGAGGCAGAATACATGCAATTGGGCATTATTTAACAAAATAAGTAAAAATACAACTCACATAATATGACTTTGTGGTTTTCTAAGTCAATATGCAAGCCATACATGACACCACTGTTCTCCATCATGCAAGTTGCCCATACACAGTTTAAATCACAGGAGCAGGTTTCTAAAATCTCAAAACTTAAAATTTTTTCCTGAACAACTCCGCCCTTTTAAAATGTTCGACAATACTCACACCTATCATTTTGGCTAATGTGACCAAAAAAAAAAAAAAAAAGGGACAAATGTTGGAGGATGTGGGAAAACTGAGACCCTAATGTATTGTTGATGAGGTTGTGAATTGATCCAACAGTTCCGGAGCAATCTGGAACTAGTGCTATAAAGCTGTGCATACCCTTTGCTCTAGCAATAGCACTGCTAGGTCTTTGGGGGAGGGAGGGGGTGGGACCAGTTATTTGTACAAAAGTGTTTACAGCAGCTCTCTTTGTGGTGGTTAAGAACTGGAAATCAAGGGGCAAGCTAGGTGACACAGTGGATAAAGCACTGGCCCTGAAGTCAGGAGGACCTGAGTTCAAATGTGATCCCAGACACATGATACTCACTAGCTATGTGACCCTGGGCAAGTCATTTAACCCCAACTGCCTAAAAAATAAAAAGAATTGGAAATCGAGAGGGTATAATCAATTAGGGAATGGCTGAACAAATTGTGGTACATTATTGAAATGCAATATTCTTGTGCTATAAGAAGTGGCAAAGCAGGATGATTTCAGAAAAACCTGGAAAAATTTACATGAACTGATACAAAAGGAAGTGAGAAGAACCTAGAGATCATTATACATAGTAATAGCAATACTGTACCATGAAGAACTGTGAATGACTTAGCTATTCTCAGCAATACAATGATCCAAATCAATCCCAAAGGACTCATGATGAAAAAACCTATCCACCTCCAGAGAAAGAACTGATGTTGTCTGACACAGACTGAAGCATGATATTCTCTTTCTCTCTCTCTCTCTCTCTCTCTCTCTCTCTCTCTCTCTCTCTCTCTCTCTCTCTCTCTCTCTAGTCCTCTTGCCAAAATGACTAATAGGAAATGTTTTATATTATTGCACATGAATAACCTGTATCAAATTGCTTACTGTCTCAGGGAGGGGAGGAGGAAGGGAAGATAGAATTTGGAACCCAAAACGGAAAAAAAAATTTTTTAATTGTTTTTTATATAGCTATATTTTTTAAATGTTTGACAATATAGAACTTTATTCCAAATCTTCCTCATTTTCAAAGAAACTAAAAAATACTAAACTAAAAGGTAATTTTTAAGCATACTGAAAATGAATTTAACAAGAAATCAAGCCATAATCTACAGGATAGATGCTTTACTCAAACTGCACGATAATACTGGTTTCTTCTGTCACATGTGAAAATGAAGGATAACAGTTAATATCTTTTTTTAAAAAGACAAAGAGAAAAATTAGTTAAGCAACAGGAAGTGCTGAGTGGTTTTGTTTGCTCACTCAATCCAGCATAGGCTCTGAGAGAGTCTTCAAGAAACTATGTGTGACCCTTCCAACTCCACTGAGTAAATAAATTTGTTCCCCAAACATGTGGAAATAAAAATGCTTGAGAGCTGACCAAATAACTTGTTAGGTTTTGCCCAATTTCTCTAGCAACAGAGCTCAATCTGGTATGTGAATGTTGTGTAACATCCTGTCAGTATTTTATGAAGCAACTTAAAAGGAAACAGCTATTTATCCAGGCTTTCCCTTAAAGTGCCAAGCAGTTAATTACAACTACTTTATATAGACCCCCTCTTTCTCTTTTGAGGACCTTTGTGTTCTCTTCAAATTACAGTATCCACTCTTGATAAAGGCTGTTTACTTTACATACCATAAAACAATTAGAAAATAACGTGTTCTTTCTCTAAAGATCAGAAGCTCCTAGGACTTTAACCACAGTATTTCAGCTAATTGTAGCAAATAAACTACATGAAAACTGGATATGATACTTTCATTGTTTGATTATCATTGTGGCAACCCAAGCATACACAACTTAGCTTATTCAGTTTCTAATGACTAGAATATTGAACTTACAAGATTTTCCTTATCTTCATCACAGCCAGCATTCATGAGCTGGGATTCCTATGTAATAAAAACAAAAGTCTTTTCAGAGAAACATGATCAAACTATCATATACAGTTTATTAGCTATGCTCATTACTAAATATTGTATAGGCTCCAGCTCCTCTATGACCAGGTTTTGTGTTTTTTTCTCTTGTTATGTTTTGTTTTGGTGACAGGGAAGGATGGAAGGGCAAAGTTTCCAGAGGTAAAAAAGAAAAATGGCATTTTCAGACAAAATTTCCTCCATGCAGAAAATGACTTTCATAACCACAAACTTCCCAAATCCTTTTAAAGGTCACAATCATTATTTTCAAGCAGGAGTATTACTGTCAATTAGCTCAGGTTCCCTGTGAGCATTTTCTATTTTGGGGGGAGGGGGGCACACAAATTTGGGGGATTTCATAATCCACAGAGTCAACAAAATGCAACACTTCAGTGCCTTGTCTACCAGAATTATAGAATGACAGAGCGAGACGGAGCCTTAGATCTCCTAATCCAACAACTGCCCCTCCCCCCCCTTTACACACAAAGGAAGATGGTCTGAGGTGACAAAACAGAATTGAGATCTCCTCAGTCCCATGTTCTTTCCACCTACAACAGAATCACAGAAGAAGGTACCTTGACAGGGATCCAATCCCCTCTACAATATATTTAGCATGGGGGCATTCCAGCTTTCGCTTTTTAGACTTTAAACCCATTCACCTTTGGAGAGTCCCAATTGTTACAAAATATTCCCTTATATGAAGCCTAAATTTTGTCTCTTGGTGACTTCCACCCATTGCCCCATAATGTTCTTCCACACAACAACTCTCCAAATTTTTTAAAACTATCCCTGTGTGCCGCCCCCCATCCCTCTCCTCTAACCTAAACATCTCCAGCTCTTTCAATCAGGTTTTGTCAGACAATGGGATCCTATTAAAAGTTTTTAGGCATAAAAATAAATTAGTAAGATGATTCCAACAGCAGGGTATAGATGGTTAAGAGAAAAAGAAGGAAAAAAAAAACCAACTAGGGACAGGGAGGGATCTCAGTTGACCCACATTACAGGCAACTAAAGGCAGGTCAAAAACCCCACATAAATCTATTTTTAAAATAAACAAAAATTTATTTAAAATAAAAGCAAGACAGTCATTTTTTTTCTAAGTCACCACGGATATAGAGAGCTGGCCTTGGAGGCAAGAAGACATGAGTTCAAGTTCTGACTTTTGACACATACTGTTTATGACTATATTAACCTTTCAGTGTGCCCCAACAGGTTTCTAATGCTAAAGGTTAACAGGAGTGTCCTCTTCATCTGTCACTGAAATCACTGCTCCAAGTTCCTATTTTCCTCTCTCACCATCATCACATAGGAAAAAAGGCCTACGGACAAGTACCACATGCCTGAGATACTAGGGGGAAAAAAATGCAACAATAGCTTCATAGTACGGCAAATTGTTGACTGGTCAAAAAGCCAAAAGACTTTATTCCTTATAATCCAAATGGGTATTAAAGGGTATTTAGTAAATTGTTTGGATGCTATTATGCTGGTGGCTTGTTCTTCTTGAGCTCTTTGTAGTATCTGACCCTGCCTCCTCCTACCTGTAGGATGGCTTGGTGACCTTCTCTGGATCTTCACCATATCACATCCACCCAACAGTGTTATACTCCAAGGCTCTGAGCTTCCAGATCCTCAGAATTCTCTCTCCATTCTCTCCTTTGGTGACCTCTGTTGCTCTCTTGGATATAACCTCTATGCAGATGACTCCCAGACTTTATATATCCAAGCCCTAATCCCTTTCCTGAACTCACCAACTGCCTGCTGGGAATTTCAAAGTGAATGTTCAAACTGGATAGGCATCTCAAACTCAACACGTTAAAAAAAAAATGCTTCATTATTCCCACCCTGCAAAACACCTGTCTCTCTAATCATCCCAATTCTTACCAAGGTTACCACCATCCTTTGGGTCTTCCACGTTCTTACCCTTGGAGGCACTCTCCTCTATCTCACCTCTCCAATCAGTTGCCACATTCACTAGTTTTAGCAAAACAACACCTCTCAATAGGTCCACTTTTCTCCATTCCACTCAACCCTGCTTCAAGTCTTCATCATCCCTCCCCTGGACGACTGTGATAGTCTCCTAACCATTCTCCCTGCCTCATCTCTTTCCTCTCCTATCTACCTTCCCCACAGCTGGCAAAGTAATTTTTCAAATTTTCAATTTAAATTTTCAATGACCATGTCATTACCCTAACTCACTCCAGGGGCTTTTCTACTACCTCTAGGATAAAATGTATAAACAACTTTTTGTCATTTAAAGCCCTTCATAACCTGCTCCAACCTGTCCTTTCCAGCCTTATTATACACTGCCCCCACTCAGACGCTACACAGTCCAACCAAACAGGCCTTGCTGTACCCCATATACTCTGTGCCTCTGTATTGGCTACCTTCCATGTCTGGAATGCAATCTCTACTCACCTCCATCATTTAAAATCCCTTTTCTAAACTCAGCTCAAGTGCCACCTTCTACATGAAGCCTTTCCTGATCTTCCCCAGGGGGTCTCATGCCCTCCCTCCACTCTCATCCACTTACCTGATGTTTATTTTGCGTATACTACATATGTACAGTTTTCAAGGGCAAGGGCTGATTTGTTTGCCTTTTCTTCTCAGTGCTTAATACATAGTAGGTACCTAATGATTATTGATAGACTGGTTAATGGCCTTATAAACTAACTATCCCTAGGACTTTACAAAAGCAATGAAATAACAGTCTTTTAGTAACAAACCAAGGCACAGACCCTCATATTAAATTCCACACAAAAACTATCCATGTTTCACTACAGAGGTACTACAGTGTTCAAAACTCAAAACAGAATCAGGGCCACTGAACCATCCCCAGAGACCACATAATGATACAGAAAGCCACTTATCAACATTCTTTAAATTTCATTGTATTTTTATTTATTCTGCTAAATCTTCCCCAATTATATTTTAATCTCATTCAGCTGTACTCAGGAGTACTGTCAATTGACATCTCTGTTGTAGGTAATCATCCCCAATACCATCTGGAGAACAATACAGTGTAGAGAACAGTCTTGGGATCAGGAGATCCAAAATCTAATCCTGGGTCTGCCCCTTGACAAGCTCTGGGCAGTAAGAATAGTTAGCATTCATGTGTTGCTTTAAGATTTGCAAAGTGCTTCACATACAAATTCAATCCCCCTTAATGCTAATCCTTGTCTCCAATATTACTCCCAAGTTTAGATAGACAGATAATCTTGTTTGTACACAATTGTTTGCATGTTGTCTCTCCCCCATTAGATTGTGAGTACCATAGCAGGGAGCATTTTTGCCTTGTACCTACAGTGTCTAGCACAGTGCCTAGCATGCAGTAAGTTCATTATAAATGCTTGTTCATGTAAATTCACAATAAAAAAAAAACCTCATGCTTTAGCAAAGAGGCTTATGACAAGAACTTTATCAGTAATTTTATTAAGTAGAAAGTAAAATGAAGCAGGTACTTGAATGAAGCAGTTTAGTTACAGCATGACTCTAGGAAATAAACAACCTCCTAACAAATGTTAACAAAATGCTGATAGAAGAAACTCCATCATGTTAAACCAATTAAGCCCAAGCTGATAAGCACTGCAGTAGTAAAGGGGAGCGCTGCCCTATGACATCTAAGCTGCCTGATTAATTAAAACTAAAACTGACAAGACTATTCAATCCAAGAACCATGTCAGCTGTTCTCAGAAGGCCAAAAAAAAAAAGAAAGAAAAAAAGAAAAGCTGAAGCAAGTCAGGAAAAAAAAAAGAGGAGATGGGGTTACAGCAGTCTCAGTTATTCAGAGCATTCTATTCCCAACCGTTCTAGATATATGGATGTTCTAGTTATCAGGGTTCACTAAAACATGGGGAAATTCACGTTATAGTAGAATAGGCATTATAGCTCACAGAATTTGCAAGTTGGAAGGGACCTTAACAACCCTTAATTTGAAGGTCCCAATATCCCTTCTAATAACTATTTAACATCTTACTACTTGAAAGAATAAAGAACTCACTACTTAAAGACTAAATACTGGCATGAAGCTGATAATTAACAGGTACCATAAGGGAAGGTTGAAAGGACTTTGAGAGAGTTCTAGAAGGATCCTCCATTCTGGACTAATCATTATTATGATGAGCTAAAAACTGCCACCACTTAGTCCTAATTCCGTCTTCTGCAACAACATCAAGCAAGTATCCTTCTTCTACATAACAGCACTATAATGAAGAACACTATCACACACCCTCTCTGCCACTCTCAATCTTTTATCCAGGCTTCAACCAGTAGTGTGACACAGTTTCCAGACCAATAAAGTCAGCCACTTCTACAGATACTCTGGTTGCTCAGCAACCCTTTTAAGAATGTAGCACCCAGGTCGAAAGACAATATTCCTGTGTAGTATAATTAGAACGAGTAAAGCAAAACTTATCACTGTAGGGATAGGTGATTACACATGTGGAGCATGTCATATACTGTCAGATACAGTTGATTCATTTTGCAAAAAAAATTTTTCTTTATTTCCTTTAAAAAAGAGAGATGCCTCACTGGGGAGAGAAGGAGGCTTGTATATTTGGAAATGAAGGTGATGTCAAAACAAGAAATATGGATTAAAAAAATGCAAAAAAAATGTGTCAAAAATGGAAGTGGTAAGAGAAAGGGAATAGGCATGTAAGCATATATTACCTTTTAGGAACTATGCTAAATGCTTTACAGATCTCATCTGGGAAAAAATATTCCAGATATAATCTGATTAGCACATATTTAAAAAAGCAAAGAAAAATAATATTCCAGATATGATCTAATTAGCACAGAGTAAAGCAGATTCATAATCGCCATGAAATAAACACTATTGTTCTACTAATGTAGAGTAAGTTTAGGTTAGGATTTCTAAAAACTGCATATTGAGCTTGTGGTCAGTTAAAATCATGATGGTCTTCTTTCATATGAACTGCTATTGAGCTATCTTTCTCATCCTATACTGGTTTTTTTAAAAC